AAGTACCTGTCCGTGGGGAGGGGGGGGGATGGCATCTCTAAGTACCTGTCCGTGGGGAGGGGGGGCATCTCCAGGTTCCTGTCCATTGGGGTAGGGCATGTGTCTCCCTGATGGGTGGTTTTGTGGTGACAGGTCTTGGTTTCGTGTGTGACATGCAATTGCCCTGTACCTGCAGGGCTCTAACCCTGTCCCCACTGTGCTTCGTATTGCAGTGACAAGGCCGATATCGTTCCCGGGTACGACTTCATGGTGAACTCGGTATGGCCGGAGATGGTTAGAGCCCTGGAGGAGAGGGCCCCCTCGCTCTTCAGTCCCGGGAACCCTGATGTCTTCTACGAGGTCAGTGCCATGGTTAGCCCCTGCGTGACCCCAAACCCCCCCCGCCATAGGTTCTCAGTATGCCTGTGACTCCCCCCACAGAAGTACACCATCAGCATGGAGTTTGTGCGGCGGTTCGAGCGGCAGTGTGGTTCCCAGGCCAGCGTGAGGCGCCTGCGAGCGCACTCAGCATACAAGAGTTTCCAGAACAAGTGGAACCTTCCAGTTTATTTCCAGCTCCGGTGAGTGAATCCCGCTGTCGCTGTGCTGTTAAACTGGAGAGACCTCAAAATGTCTTAACATCCACCTTAAAATCCATCTGTGCCCTGTTTGCTGCGTCAGTCGGCCATGTTGCCGTCATCGGCTGTGTGGGTAGATATCCATCACAGTCAGGGGCGGATTAACGCACAGGCTAGATATGGCTTAAGCCTAGGGGCCCCACGTGTGCCAGCCTGCAAGGGGCCCCCATTGGCGCGGAGGGGGGCGGGGTTGGGGGGGCCCGCAGACTACTGTAGCCTAGGGGCCTCTGTACACCTTAATCCGCCCCTGATCACAGTGGTGCTCTCTCTGTCTGCCAGTGGGTTCCTGTCCCCCGCAGATAAGGATCCGGTCAGGGCAGAGATCGATTAGCATGTTTGCTGTCATGGATTCCGTGCCAAGGTCCGCAGGAATTGCGCTGTGTTCTCCGGCCTTCGTTTTCTCGTCCCCCTGTCATCCCTCCCCTCCGCACGGCCGCTGCCCTTCTCTCTTATTCCCCTCGTCTGTTTGCGCTCGTTCTCGGTGTCGCCACATTTCCGTAATTCTGGGGCGGGTGACAGTCGTTCTGTCTGTGTGACAGGGTGACCGCTGCTCGGTGGGGAGGCTTGGCAGTGCTGCGGAAATGCCGCTTCACAGGCCTCTGGGTGAACGCAGGGACCCCCAAACTGTCAAACACGCAGCGTCTTATCTGTGTCTCCTGTAGCCCTTTCGCCACATGACGCTCAGGTTTGATTGGGTAACACGACAGATGGAGACAAAGAGACGGCCTCCCCTCGCATTACGATCTTTTGGCCAGAGGGTTTGTGCCGACTGCCAATGATTAACCTCATCCCTCCCCCAGCCAGCCGGGTTACGTTCGATTCCTCTGTTTGAGTTTGCTTCTTTCCGTGCGTGATGCTGGTGACGTTCCTGACGAGCGGCATGTGATTCGAGAGCGAAACGGCGCCCCCTCCTGGTGTCTGTTTTAAGTACAGCTTAAAAATCAACATCGGGGGTGGTGCAGAACAGAGGGTCACAAGGTCTCGTCTAGTCCTGTCATCGACTGTCAATGCAATGCTGAGTGTGCTTGGCATGTTGCTTAATCCCCCCCCCCCATATCTGCACCTGCAGTTACAAGGAGATCGCAGGCAGTCTGGAAAACGCCATAACAGAGTGCTTGGTGGAGGCTCCAGGTCAGTGTCGGGTCTCGGGCGCTAGGTGGCGCTGTGCAGGGTGGGCCTGTTGGACGGCAGTAGTGACGTTTGCCCCCTCCACTTCAGCAGGTGGCGCCTTCCGCCTGCACGTCTCCCACATGCTCTGGACCTGCCTGCTGCGCTGTTGGGCCGAGGGCGTCTACCTGCCCCAGCTGGCCCATCGCTTCTGGAAGCTGACACTGCAGCTGCTGTCCCGCTACTCCACCTTCATGATGGAGGTGAGCCCCTCCGGCCCACACACTGAGATCAGGGCGCGACGGCGCTGACCCGGCGCTGCCCCGCCGCTAACCCGGCGCTGCCCCGCCGCTAACCCGGCGCTAACCCGGCGCTGCCCCGCCGCTAACCCGGCGCCTCGTGACGGGGGCCTTTCTCTCCGCAGGTGCTGACGCGTGTCCCGGCCGCCAATGTCGGCAAGGAGCCGCCGAAGCCCCTCCCCAGCTCGGCCTCGTCCACGTCGAGCCGCACCTCCCAGGAGGACACGGGCAGCGAGGCAGCTGGGCCCACGGCGCTCACCAGCCGGCAGATGGCCTTCGTCATGGCCGACCTGGACACGCTGCAGGAAAAGGTGCTGCTTTGCGGGGGGTCCGGGGGACAGGCAGGGTTCGTAATTAAACAGGGTTAATCTCAGCGGGGGGAGCTTCCAGTCTGCAGAGTAACGATGGCGTATCTAATTACGAACACCCTCACTCTCTGTGGTCTGAGTACGTTAAGATGCATTCCATTAACATGTTATACACAGCAGCAAAACACACATTAAAATGAAGGTTTACTCCACCCCCCCACACAGATTCCAGAACTTTCTGACATCATCCGACAGAAGCTGGAGCTCATTGGCTTCACCAGCTTCACTATGGTTTCAGGTATGCGTCCCCCATTACCGTGGGACGAGGCCTTCCTCGTCATTTCACTGTGGTCTGAGATCTGCAGACTCTGATTTGCTGCTGTGCTGAAGCTGACATCCAACCCTGCCATTACCCAGAATCCTTGGCAGACTCCCAGGCAGCCCTGTCTAGCTGCATTCCCGCTGTCAGCCGGCAGGTCACGCAGCACCTGGGGGAAAGGTGTTTCAGTTACCTGAGGAGTGCTTCTGAAGTGCCCCGCCTCTACCGGCGCACCAACAAGGTGAGTTCTGCGGCCCCAGTGAGGCCCCGCCCACCCTCAATGCCCTGCCCATTTTCACCCAGTGGGGCCACACCCACCCTCAATGCCCTGCCCATTTTCACCCAGTGGGGCCACACCCACCCTCAATGCCCTGCCCATTTTCACCCAATGAGGCCCCACTCACTGCCACCCAGCTAGCTTAAGGTGTCCTCTCTCTAAGCATATTTTACACCGGAGTTCATGTTGTATCTGTTACTAAAGCTTTCGCCGTCTGCCTCCACAGGAAGTCCCCACCAGGGCCTCTGCCTACGTGGACAGCGCCTTGCGGCCGCTGCTCCAGTTGCAGAGCGACTTCAGGGATATGCTGAGGCCCCCCATCATCGAGGAATGGCTGCGCATCACGCTCTGTGATTGCACGCAGAGGTAACCCATAGTGACCAGCCGGGCCCTCCTCCCATTGGTCACTCATAGACCATGTAACCTTGATGTGAAGGATAGTGGAAGTTATTATGATCTACATGCTGTCTGCTCTTAGTTATGTTCAGATATGTGTTGACTTCATCACTTTTTTGGCCGCCATGGACACAGGTACCATGAGACCATATCGGATGTGCTGAGTTCAGTGAAGAAGATGGAGGAGAGCTTAAAGAGGCTGAAGCAGGCCAGGAAGACGGCGACCTCCAACCCTGCGGGTTCCGGCGGAGGCCCCACGGATGACAGCAAGATCCGGCTGCAGCTGGCTCTGGATGTCGAGTACTTGGGAGAGCAGGTGAGCCTTCCTCCTGGTCCGAAGCCCATTCTGTTTGCACCTCATCCAGAAACTTCTGGAAACGAGGAATGCGTTTATGCCGTTCTCCCCCACCCACTGCAGATCCAGAAAATGGGTCTTCAGCCCAGCGACGTGACGCTGTTCCCCGCCCTCCTGGAGCTGGTCCAGGGGGCCCGGGACACTGTCCCCTCCGAGGCCCCCGCACCCCAGTCCACACAGCCCGCCGGCCTGTGACTGTCTGTGACACTGCGTCATCTCCATGGGAATGCGATTCCCTACAAACGCCGATGCTAGAGCTCCGGATTGGACCAGGGGCCGTCCTGGGGTCACCTCCATCATGCGCAGACGGCGTCGGCTGGAGAGGCGGAGGACAAGCGTTTGGTGAAATATTTATATCCTGTTTCTGCAGAAGGAACATAAGCTGGTGTTTTGGGGGCTTCAATCAGAGGCATCAGGGCTGAGCTTAAGCGGCAGATTTCTGGTAAAGGGTCGCTGTCCGCTATGATTGGAGATGCAGGACTTCATGATGTCGAATCGCGGCGCTGGAGGACTTTGCAGTCTTCCTCACAAGCACTGAGGTGCTGAATCTGGTGGACAGGACTGATTGTAGTGATGCCTTGTAAGGAAAAATCAGATTCATTTTTTAAGGTCTTTGGGAAGTTATGTCTGCACAAAACTGTCTGCTGAAGGCGCTGTTTGAAATTTTCGAAATGTTCGACTGCCCCGTCAATAAAAGATTACTGTGCTGTGAAGCTCTACTGCGGTTATCTTGTTGAATCTTTGATCCTGCGCATCTGTGTCTTAATCCCCATCCTTCTGGGATTAGGATCGTTGTTCTTATAATCCGCAGTCTTCCTGCTGAAGCAGAAATTACCTCTGTGATCCAGAAAAAGTCTGGCCAGCCAACCCGGGCCATGCTAATTGTCTTCTATAATTAAAACACGTGTCCCCCGTTGTGAATGGGGCCACAGCCATCAGGGGGCACTGTTTTACGCTCAGTATAAAAATGGTTTATGCTTTGTCAGTTCCCTCGATGAGGTGTAAACGATTAAAATGGCCTGAGGGAAGGGAGGCGTTTTGCGACAGAGGACACGGCTCAGATGACTGAGCAGCAGCTCTGCACGCTGAGGAGAGGTTACTGTCCCTGCGTGGCGCAAATGTTCCTTCATACCTCTCTGTGGCATTTGTCAATGGTGACTAAGTGAGGAACCATTTCTTAGGTTTGACCTTGCGGAAGACGCTAGGAAAAAGTGTGCATGCTAGCAGTTTATTTACACATAGCATTTATTCGCATAAGAGGTTTTCATATGTGCAGCATTGAAGAGAAGCAAAGAAAATGTCAGTTTTGTTTTGCTTAGGAATACATCTTATTCCGACTTTATTATAACATAATTCTTGACATCAAAAATAAACTGCACAATACAAAAATACTAATTCAGCAAATATGTCTCCTTTAATACTTTTGAAGAATGCTATTTCCCTGCTTGATACACTCCAGCTGTGTGTCCTGATATGTCAGATGCTTACAGAATAAGCAATGCAACTGAAATCACTGGTTGGGTAGGATTTTGTGATTTGGTTGAATAATTATCTGCTTTGCTTACTTCTTACCATGATCAGAAGAGGAAAACAGGTCAGAAACTGCTGCTGCACTGGAAGGGTGATCCACTCTTACAGTTCACGAGGGAATTAATGGCCCGAAATCAAACCTGACGTTTCTAACGGTCGCAAACAATCCGTAGAGTGCCCTAGATGAATGCACAAGGCCTCAGGGAAACACACTTTTAATCTCGTTACACACAAATTCAAAAGAAAGATTGGCTCTCATGCATGTGGGAACCCAGCTAACTTTTAGTGAAGTCCTTCAGTAGACATAGTTGCAGTCAGAACAGAAGGTTTTCCCAAATCCTTAGAGGCTGGGGTTGGTTATTCTCCCAAGCAGAAGGATGGCATTCGAGTTCTCCTCCACCACTGCGAAGAAGAAGGGCCTGTTGACCACGAACTTCAGGGGCACCATATCGACCACGGGACCGACAGGGTCCTCCTCGCCTTCCTCGGACACCTGGAAGCCCACGTGGCTCAGCACCTGCGGACCAGAGACATTCTGTTGTGTTTTACTGCTTGTAGATCCTCTTTTGTCGAGACGTTCAGTGGGAATGACAGAGAGTCAAACAAAATACAGGAATTCTGCAGAAATTCTATGTAACATTATCCCTTATTATGAAAATAATATATAACGTCACCTGGTCCAGCCTGAAGTCCTCCTTGGTGCTGAGCCTACTGAAGTCAGCACCTTCATCCAGCAGGTATGAGAGCTTCATGTCAGACAGGATGCCCTTGAGGTCACTTGTGCTGTTCAGTGAGAACTTGGGCAGGGACACTTCGAGCAACCTGCAAGTCAAAGGCGTCCTTGTTGACAATGTTCTTCAGTTCAGCTCCTGCTGTCTCTGCGGCATTAAATCACAGCCCCAGACTAATGGACTCTCCTCCGCAAAAGCGTTTGCAGTGACTGTGAAATGCTCTTGGACTACTGCCAGCTGTGTCCTTGGACAAGCTGGCAAATGAGAAGTCCAGATGTATACCATACTCCGCTAACCATGATGATATTCTTTATACAGGTAATTACATTTAGGCTCCATTAGACAATAAGTACCGAGTGCTTGGTTCATATTGGATCCTCCATGTCAGATGGTGTTTATGTTCAACGGCACCTTGGACAAGGCCTTACCCTTCCTTAAATTGCTGCTGCCAGCTTGAGAGAAGCTTGGTGGAGAGCTGATCTTCCACGTGGTCCAGGCTGGTCCCCTTGTGCGGAAGAGCTGTCAGGATGTAGACCTTTTTCTTCAAGGGCATCTTGACCACTGTGCTCTTTGTGGCTTTGTCGTCCACATACATGAAGTTTCCCACACGGCTCATAAGAGGGACAGGAACACTGGTCTTGTCATCGACCCAGAAGTTTTGCAGGGATGTTGCCTCTGGCCGGAACGCTGTCCTCCACCGCCCTGAGAAGAAGATGGACAACATGCCAAGGCAGGAAACGACGTCTCTCATGTAATAAAGTAGAGGCACTTGTGGAGAATGTGTGTCGCCTTTAGTCATGAATGCTTACCCTTGAAATGGATGGAGCTGGCAAACAGGAGGTTTGTGGATGGGCTGATGTCGTCAAACAGCTGCTCGACCTTGCTGGCCGACGTCCTCTGGATGAAGGAGTTGACCTGGGTCTCAGCGCCCCCAGCCTGGTCGAAGTCTACCGAACGTACGAAGGAGGCGTCTGAGTAGTCTTGCGTGCCCCGCACGAACTCGCGTGACAGGTCCCCCTCTCTGCCCACGAAGGTCCACGTGTGGGTCCTGAGCTCGTCGCCGGCGCTCTCGTTGAGCTGGCTGCTGATGTGTCGGAGTGTCCGGAGGACCTTGTGGCCATCAAACAGCGGCAGGCAGACCTTCTCGGTGTCAGCGCTCAGGCCCAGCAGCCTTTGGAGGCTGTCAGCTGTTACATTGGAGGCACCCAGATAGAAGGTGCTGAGGATCCCAAATGCATTGCCTGGGCTGAACAGGGTGTTGGCCGCCTTCCCCTGCCTCAGGGTTCCATAGAGCCGCAGCCCCAGAGAGTTCAGCAGCTCGCCAAGTACAGCCGCCTTTTGATTGATGGCCTGATCCGTTTCGCTCTCCTCCTGCGGGGTCGTGCCGTCGGGCTCGATGGATCCCTGGGGGTCCATGAGGGACGGTTTTAACATCTCAGGGGGTTTGTGGGCTTGAGCCTGGGCAATTTCACAAGTGAAGTTGTTGTAGGCGAAGAGATTGAAGGGGTGGACATAGACGCGGTTTGCCGCTGTCTGGACCACAGCCACCAGCATCAGGAGAAGGCCGAGAACTCGGGGCATTTTATGTCTCTGTGGTTCACTGCAACACAAAGAAAATGTTTTTTAAAGCACATTTTAACATCAGTGTCACTTGAATACTTCTAATTGCTGCCATAATTAGTTTTGCGGAATAATTTCTGAGTAGTGCTGGTATTTAAATATAAACAGAATAATAATTTGCCTGCAAATGGTAGTTTTTCTTCCGGAAAAGCTGTGACCTTTTACCCATCGTTCGGCCGCTGCTCAGGAAGCAGTGCAGCGTTCTCCTGTCTTCTTTACTTTGGAGGATGATCAGCTGATGAGACTTCCTGGAAGCTCATAGCAAACACTGAACCGCTTCTATCTGGTTTCATTAATGATTACAAAGTGAGGGCCCCTGAGCATGAAAGTCTCCAAACCGGTTTCAACAGGATGAAGCACGAAGATATTTCAGATTTGAAACCCTAACCTGGTTGGCAGTAAAGGCCTCATGCACTGTACAGTACGTAAACGCAGTGGGAAATTATGTAATGGCGAAGAAATCAAGCCATCTGCCATGAATCGTGATTTCACGTCAATAACAAAAAATATTAATGATTGACAATCTGTAGATTGTAGAATGTAATTTTATTACTCTTTTCTTATGGTACGTCAGGAACATAAGGTGTACTTATGTGAGACTGAGGTTACTTATCTGTCAGCTGTCTTATCTGAAATGAACGCGCTTACCTTCGGGGTGACGGTCCTCCTGAAGCCTTCACGGATACTGCGGCCAGTTCGCGAGCGGATCGGCTTTTAGCGCGTGGACGGCATTGCGCGTTTCCCCTGCTGTTACATATTAACTGGGCCACTGAATCACCTAGCGATGCTTTAGGGTGAACCGGGCAAGGGATGAGTCAGGGGCCAGTACTCCCCACTTCCCTTACTGGATACGACTTCTGCCGATGTTTCTGCGTGGTGAACTAACTACAAAACCTTAACCATTTATTTTACTTGTTAATCAATTACTAACTAGTACAACTGTTCCTTAGTTTGAAAGCAAATAGAAATAGTATTTTATGACATCTCTCATTAAAAAAATATATTCTTTTTTATATGTAAGATACAAGCATGCCATCAACATTTCTGTTTTAACGATTTTGAATGTGGTCAAATTTGAGCACTACATGGCTCAACAGTACCGACGTCAAATGGACACAGCTGCCTTCCCACGGTTCTCACATCTGGCTGGGGTGCAGGTTCACTACTGTTGGTGCTGATAAACTACATTACAGCACTGACTGATGGAGTGAGCTTGTGGCACACGTGCGCCGTGAGCCACGCGCAGCCAGCACAATATCAGCCGTGAGGACTGATTAATCGACCGATTGCCATAAAATGTGACCTCTAGTTACTATATCTGTTAATTCTGTAAATCTTTGTGAACTACTGAAGGAACTAATGAAGTACTGAGGAACTAATGAAGGATCAAGTGATGAATAACCAAGTGAAATACTGATCTCGTGTTTGTTCATCATTAATGAATCATGACGCCCACTTCCAAGTTAAACTTAGCTACGTAGCTTTTAGCGGTGAAGTACCCACTATTTATTTATATATATATATATATATATGCTATTTTGCCAAAAGTATTGGGACACCTGCCTTTACACACACATGAACTTTAATTACATCCCATTCTTAATACGTAGGCTTTAATAAGGAGTTGGCCCACCCTTTGCAGCCATAACAGCTTCAGCTCTTCTGGGAAGGCTGTCTTCAAGGTTTAGGAGTGTGTTTATGGGAATTTTTGGCTGAGTTGCTGTTGTTCCCAATTGCTTCCACTTTGTTTTTATACCACTAACAGTTGACTGTAGAATATTTAGCAATATTTTGCGAATGGACTTACTGCACAGGTGGCATCCTGTCACGGTACCACGCTTGAATTCACTGAGCTCCTGAGAGCGACCCATTCTGTTCATACAAATGTTTGTAGAAGAAGTGTGCATGCCTAGGTGCTTGAACATATACTATGGAAGTGACTAGAACACCTGAATTCTATGATTTGGAGGGGTGTCCCAATACTTTTGGCAATATAGTGTATTTGTATTGCAGCAGTAACTGAGCCACCACTAAGTATTCGTGCCCCACTGAAATCAGCATTTGTTAAAAAAACAAAATGCATATTGCCAATGTTTTAATCTTAAGCAAGCTACAAAAACCAAACTCAATCGACCTGTCAGAAGAGCTGAACGTCTATTTCACACATTTACTCAGATTCGACCTCGACAGCCCCTTGGGTGTTCGCTGGGCAGTAAGGAAATGCTCCTCGCCCACCTCCAGGCTAACGTTAGCTAGCTTTTAGCGGTGAAGTATTTCGCCTGTTTCTATTACTGTTCAATATTGTGATTTTTGTCATCAATGTGGAATGAATTAATCTCAGTTCCGCTTATAACATTAATAAGTTTTACAATATGTACAATATTTAGGTAGGCAGGCCATGTGCAGTGGTGGGGCTTGAGGTCATTTGGGGAGGGGGTGGTGGGCAGCTAAGCCCGTCCATGCCCCCCCTCGACGCCGGGCTTACTGATTATGAGACACTTATCTTATGGGGGTAACATATGGGGAAGTTGATAAGGAAAATGACTCTTCAACTCAAGGCTACGTGTTTGAGCCCCAGTGTTAAGACATTTGTTTAAATGGTGTAAAAGGGAGAAACAAATCTATCTGTCACGTCGTGTTTATGTGGTTATCGTGACAGCTGCTTCTACAGACGCTGCGCGCCCCTTTACCGTATCCTACTGCATTATTCAAATAGAGCCGCGATACATTGGGGCAGTGCTGCCCTCCAGCGGACATTGCGCGTAAATATAGAAACTTTTGGGGTAAGTTCAGAGGATTTAGAATTAGATGTTGCAGTAACCTTAAAATACCGTAGGCCACTAAACCAGCTAAAGCTGCATCAGGCCGACCTCAGAGCACTGAGGTTTTTTTAAACTTAAAGGAAATTACAGCAGTATAATACGGTGCAGCAAAACTTAAATCAGAGACCAAGACACGTTCAGCTCGAATGAAGGGTATTTTCCAAATCTAAGTTATTCTGTCTAAGGTTAAATGCGAACTGTGCAGACGTGCATCACTTAGCGATTCATCACTTCCTTTTCATAAGCATGGGTGACACCGGTGACCTATGATGAGCGGAAAAGAGCAGGTTAGAGCGCTTTCTCCTTTCTTTGTGGGAGGGCTTCCGCAGGCTGACTTCGCCGCGCGTCCTCAGGCGGCCAGACTGCAGCGTGGAGCGGCCATGGCCAGCGAGCCTCAACCGGGGGGTAGGAAGCAGCCGCCGCTCTTCCCTCTGCAGAGGGTCCGTTCGCAGAGCGACACCTCCTGCTTCCGAGCGCGGATCTTCGGCAGACTGCATGCCGCCTGTTCAGGTAGGGGGGCTGCTGGGGGCTGCAGGGTATTTTTGGCGGGGGGCGGCGGACGGCAGGTAGGTTGCGCTCCGCATCCGATCCCGGCTTTAAAGCTGCTTAACAGACTCTCTGACATGCATCCGTCACTTATGCTGGCGGTGGCACCTTTTTACTGGGACGGAAGTTTTTTTTTTTTTTACCAGGCTTGTATTCTTAAGAAAGATACGACGTTTCTTGTAAAACTTTTTCGCTTTGATGCTGAGCGATGAGCATCAGCGACGCTTATTCTACTTAAAATCAATATAAAACCATGAAAATGAAGGCGACTGTTACTCGTTTAGTCGCACCTCCGAAGTCCGTGCACTGCACGTTCAATTTATGCTGATCAGTAGAAAGTGATCGATCTTGTAAGCGCACATTTAGCACCGGCGAGCTGCTACTTAAAAGCTCAGGGTAACAGGATGTCATGATCTACCTGTATCTCGAAACATTATATATTAGTCAAAAAGAGCTGGTGGTCGAGAAAGGAACAGTGTTTGTGAGCAATGTCCCAAATGTATGGTATAATGAAAGGAAATGTAAAGCTCCAGGCGCTGAATGCAGGGAAATAATACGAGAATGAAAATCTGATTTTGCTGTTGGCTTTTCAAGCTGCCGTGTTCTGTCACGGCTTTGTACCAGACTGGGGCTGCAGTATATTATGCAAATAACAGCTCGTTTGCACTATACCCAGCTGTTTGCACGTCACATTATTTCATTTCTTTCTTTATTTCTCCACATGTTGGTCTCATCACTGCATATATCTTCTGAAAGGGCTTTTTTTTTTTTTGCTTTATGCTAATTAGTTGTATGTTTAAATCATGACACCATTTGCAGTGTAAGACATTCCTTGCACTTCTCTGTAGTTGGTGTATAAAATCTTTGTGACCCAGACGCTGTGGGCTCTGACTTCCTAGGCCTCTATGCTAGGGGCACCATACGCGTCTGCGTCAAACGCCGTGATGGTCGTGCCGTTAGGTTCTATGGTGTGATGATCAGGATGCCGGCCCGTAGCCAGAAATAATTCTTAGTTGGGGGGTGAGTGTCTCAGGTCATGAACAAATTTCGGAAGGGGTGCAAGCCTGTTATTATTGCAGCTTTGTGGCTGTCAGACTGAGAGTTTTCG